GGGACCCCCCGCCCAGCGAGACACACAAGCTGGTGGTCGTAGGCGGCGGCGGCGTGGGCAAGAGCGCGCTGACCATCCAGTTCATCCAGGTAGAGGGCCCTCTCTCGGGAGGGTGCCCCGGGGACCCAGACTGAGCCCTTTAGGGAGTCCCGGAGACCCCAATTTCCTCTTGACCCATCACTGAGACCCTCCCATGAGGCCCTCTAATCTTAAACTATCCCCTCAAATGTGACTCTCAGCTCCCCGAGGGCCTCTACCGCCTACACGCAGGACCTTCCTTCTGCAGTCACATCCTGAAACCCACTCTCTTCCGCCGGGACCTAGGACCCTGCTTCCCTCTTCCCCACTGCCCTGGTCCGGAGTGACTCCTGAATACAGGACGAATCCCCTTTTAGACCCTAAGCACTCCCAGGGGCACCCTAACCCTCCCTGCTACCTCCCTCCACCCAGAGCCCTAGCTCCCCTCAGCCCCAGACCCCAGCTTCCCAACTAAGCCATCCAGAGCCTCCCTGGGACAGTGCCTGCGCCCAGCAGCCTTGACATTCCCGCAGTCTGGATTCTTAGCCCTTTCCATCCCGCAGAATCTGGAAATCATGCCCAGATCATGACCCCGAGAGCCTTCCGTGCCTGCCCAGTCCTGAGAGGTACCCACTAACCTCTGAGAGAACTTCCCCTCAGACCCAAAGAGGTTAAAAAGATCTTGCTCCTTAGCCATTCTAGAAAACCCCAAGACCTCAAGTCCTGGAGGGCCCCCATTCCGCAGAACCAGACCCACCCCCAAGAAAGCCAACCACTCCTCCATCTTGAGTTTCCCTCCACTCCTGCTCCTCCAGCCCCTGGGAGGGGGGATCATCTCCGTGGAACAAGACCCAAGATTCTAGCACCCCCCAAGACCTGCACCTTGGGAGTTCCTCTGACCCCTTAAGTGCGTCTCAAGTTCTCTAAGGCGCTATATAGCCTGGCAGACCTCCGAGTGTCCCAGAGCCTCGAGGGCTGGGGCCCAGTTCTCACCCCCCAGCTTCTCCCCGTGTACTCTGAAGGCACGCCCCTAAAGCCCCCAAGTCGCGATCCCGCCCAGGCCCAGGGCCTGATCCCTACACCTTCCCTCCGGGACCAACCCCCATCAAGCACCCCTCAAGCGGACAGGATGCAGTCTTCAGAGCCCGGTCCACCAAGTCACCCCTTCTCTCCTGAAAATCCAGCCCTGTCCAGGAAACCTCCACCCCATTCCGAAGGGAAACCCTCCCCCCCTCGGAGGAACCCTAGAAAGGTGTCTGCCCCTGAGATGCTCCCGCAGAGACCCCAGCCGCGCCTGCGCGGGAGTCCTGTCCCTGTGCAGAAAGGCCCAACCCCGGGGCCCCTTGCACCCAGGGGCAGACACAGAGCTGGCCGAAGGCCTGGCTGGAGCGGGCGGGACCGGGCAGGAAGGGAGGGCCCGGCCCGAGGGTGGGGCAGCTTCTCCGCAGCCGGATTGGAACCGGGACCTTCCCCTGGGAGGAGACGCCGGAGGCCGCGGAGGAGGAGGGGGAGGAGGGAGAGACGGAGGCAGGCAGATACTTCGGACAAGGCTCCCAATCTGCGATGGCTTAGTGCATGCCAGGCAGCGTGTCGAGGTTTCACAGGGTTTTCCCAGAATCGCTGCCTGACTGCAGCGCTATTCTTACCGTTCTCCTAACGAGGAAACTGAGGCTCAGAGAGGGGAAGTGATTTGTTCAGTGTTACACAGCCAGGGGGTGATCCGATGTGGGAGACGGACTTTACACCAGAGAGACAGAATCAGACATCAGGAGACTGGGCGTAGGGAGGAGGGGTGGGGGGCAGGTACCGAGAGGAAAGGAAGATAGAGACCTGCAGAGCAGAGAGGCCGAGACCCAGAGAGCGCCATATCCCCCGCTCCCCCACCCCCACTGCCGTCACTAACGGTGTCCTCTCCCTGCCCCGCCCCTCTGCCAGTCCTACTTCGTGTCCGACTACGACCCCACCATCGAGGACTCCTACACGAAGATCTGCACCGTGGATGGCATCCCCGCCCGGCTGGACAGTGAGAGCCGGGGGTGCGGGGTGTCAGTGGGGGCCGAGGGCTCACGGGAGGGCAGGGGGGAGCCTTGTCCCCATATGGTCCTTTTCCCTGTCTCCGCAGTCCTGGACACGGCAGGCCAGGAGGAGTTTGGGGCCATGCGGGAGCAGTACATGCGCGCGGGGCACGGCTTCCTGCTGGTGTTTGCCATCAACGACCGGCAGAGGTGAGCGGTCTGGGTGGCAGGCAGGCGGAGGGTGCAGCGGAGCAGCGGCGGGCCAAGCAGCTGGCGGCACCTCATGCCTCCGCCCGGCTTGCAGTTTCAACGAGGTGGGCAAGCTTTTCACACAGATCCTCCGAGTCAAGGACCGCGACGACTTCCCCATCGTGCTGGTCGGGAACAAGGCGGATCTGGATGCTCAGCGCCAGGTTAGGGCTCCACCCCTTCCCTGGGCGCCCCACTCTGGCTGGGAGGCTCCTTCCAGGGCCCGTTTTTGGGCAACGGTCAAATCGGCCCTTCTTGGTCCTCCACCCCTCTACCCCCGACCTCGCCCCACCCAGCAGGGGCACCTGGCACACTGGAGTTCCCAGGAGAGGTGTCTGATAGAACAAAGGGCATCTGCCCCCACCAGCCTGGCCCACCTCTGTCCAGGCTCTTACCTTTTCCTACTGCCAGGCTCCTGTATTTTTCGTCTTTCTGGTCAACCTCCTGCCCATGCCAGCCCCAGCTCTGTCCCTGCTCACAGTCTTTGGTGGCTCCCTGTTCTCGTAGGAGCTGCTAGACACCCAACATGATCTCGTCCCCTCCTTCCTCTGCTGCCACTTCTCTGGGCACACAGAACTCTGAGCCTACTCCTCCATGCCTACGGTGCCAAATGCTGCTTAGCGGAGGTCCAGTAAGGTGCCGTCTAGACCTTCCCCCTTCCTCACACAGGGAGCTTCAAGCCCTCGGCGTCTCCCCCCGACCTCCTTAACGCTTTGTCTTCACTCAGGCCCCCCCAGTGGATACCCCACTAGACCCCAGGGCGAGCTGTCTGCTTCAGGTGGCACAGTGAGAGATCACTGGTGAAAAGTGTCACACGGAGGCCCAGGTTCCAGGACGTGGAGACAGGGACGGAGGTGTTGGGGTTCAGCGATGGCCAGTCAGAGACCCCACCCCATGTCTCCTGCCCCCCCAAGGTCCCCCGAACTGAAGCATCCACCTACAGTGCCTCCCACCATGTGGCCTACTTCGAGGCTTCGGCCAAACTGCGTCTCAACGTGGACGAGGCCTTTGAGCAGTTGGTTCGGGCCGTCCGGTGAGCCAAGTCCCCTTCCCAGCATCCCTGTCCCTGGTCACACCAGCCCAAACTCATTGGCCTCTTTCCACAGGAAGTTTCAGGAACAAGAGCTGCCACCCAGCCCCCCCAGCGCCCCCAGGAAGAAGGACGGGGGCTGCCCCTGCGTCCTCCTGTAGCCTGAGAGAGAAGCAACCAGCACAAGCCCTCGGGACCAGCCGCCCTGGTGCCTCGCGGTGTGACCTGAGGCCCTCGCTGAGCCGCACCTTCCTCCCCTGGGTCTCCCAGGACACACTACACCCCACACCCTCACTTCCTGGCCTCTGCCAGGCCATCGCCACCGTGTGCCTTCTGCCAACGCCTTCTTTCCCCACCCATGCCCCTGGTGGGGGTGAGGGGCTCCCAGGTCACTGCTGTATATAACTCCCCACCCACCCCCCCGCCCAGAAAAATAAACGCCACTGCCAACAAGAGGTGTTCTTCTCCCTTTAAGCCAGAGTCTCCCATCTTCCTGTCTCAGCCTCAGAGGAGCTGGGAGCATAGGTACACATGCTCACCATGCCCAGCTCTCACACGGGGTCTTTTTCATTTTTTTGTTTTCCTTGCTGCTGGGTGCGTGTGCTCACGGGAAGGGGGTACAAAGTGAGAGAGCACCTCTACGGTATGGCTATACCACAAATCCTCCCCCTCCATTCTCCTCTTGGAATTTTGGGCATTCACATGTGTGCACCCGGCATGTTTTTCAGCCTCCAGGTCCAGGATTTGAACCATGGTCAGCCTTGTGGAATCCAGCCACCTTAACCTTAACGCTTTGTCTTCACTCAGGCCCCCCCCAGTGGATACCCCACTAGACCCCAGGGCGAGCTGTCTGCTTCAGGTGGCACAGTGAGAGATCACTGGTGAAAAGTGTCACACGGAGGCCCAGGTTCCAGGACGTGGAGACAGGGACGGAGGTGTTGGGGTTCAGCGATGGCCAGTCAGAGACCCCACCCCATGTCTCCTGCCCCCCCAAGGTCCCCCGAACTGAAGCATCCACCTACAGTGCCTCCCACCATGTGGCCTACTTCGAGGCTTCGGCCAAACTGCGTCTCAACGTGGACGAGGCCTTTGAGCAGTTGGTTCGGGCCGTCCGGTGAGCCAAGTCCCCTTCCCAGCATCCCTGTCCCTGGTCACACCAGCCCAAACTCATTGGCCTCTTTCCACAGGAAGTTTCAGGAACAAGAGCTGCCACCCAGCCCCCCCAGCGCCCCCAGGAAGAAGGACGGGGGCTGCCCCTGCGTCCTCCTGTAGCCTGAGAGAGAAGCAACCAGCACAAGCCCTCGGGACCAGCCGCCCTGGTGCCTCGCGGTGTGACCTGAGGCCCTCGCTGAGCCGCACCTTCCTCCCCTGGGTCTCCCAGGACACACTACACCCCACACCCTCACTTCCTGGCCTCTGCCAGGCCATCGCCACCGTGTGCCTTCTGCCAACGCCTTCTTTCCCCACCCATGCCCCTGGTGGGGGTGAGGGGCTCCCAGGTCACTGCTGTATATAACTCCCCACCCACCCCCCCGCCCAGAAAAATAAACGCCACTGCCAACAAGAGATGTTTTTCTCCCTTTAAGCCAGGGTCTCCCATCTTCCTGTCTCAGCCTCAGAGGAGCTGGGAGCATAGGTACACATGCTCACCATGCCCAGCTCTCACACGGGGTCTTTTTCATTTTTTTGTTTTCCTTGCTGCTGGGTGCGTGTGCTCACGGGAAGGGGGTACAAAGTGAGAGAGCACCTCTACGGTATGGCTATACCACAAATCCTCCCCCTCCATTCTCCTCTTGGAATTTTGGGCATTCACATGTGTGCACCCGGCATGTTTTTCAGCCTCCAGGTCCAGGATTTGAACCATGGTCAGCCTTGTGGAATCCAGCCACCTTAACCTTAACACCACCTGCTGGCCCCTGAGATAGTCTTGCTATGTTGCCCAGTACTGGCTGTGAACTCCTGATCCTTCTGCCTCAGCCTCCTGAGAGGCGGGGACTACAGGTGTGGCCCCACCTCGCCTGAGTTTTCAGGGTGGGCCAGGAATCCAACCGGGCTTCCCATGTGGTCTGGTCTTGGCCCTGCTGCACAGCAATGCCAGCGACACTGGAGACCACGGCTGGGCCAGATGGTGCTTCTAGCAAATGGAAATGGGGCCAGCAGATGCTATAGCGGTTATGTCGTTGGACTCCAACATGATTGACCACAGTTCCACTCCTGGACCCGGTGGCTGGAAACTCACGCCAGGCCCATGAGCATGCATGCCCAAGATCCTGGGAGGAGAATGGAGGAGAAAGGATTGCAGCCATCCCTTTTAGGGTAGTGATTTCTCACTTTCCTTCTCACTGTCTCTGTCTCTCTCTGGCAAGCACATGTGCCCTAAGGTAAAAACCTCTTAAAAAAAAAAAAACCTAGTTAAGGCACTGCACTCCCACACAGCCAATGGCAGTTCAAGTCCTGGCTCCAGCTGCTTGACGTGTGCGTGCATGCCCAAAAACCCCAGGAAGAGAAGGGATTGTGGCATGGCCAACCCTTGGGGGGGAGCGACTTCTCACTTTCCTTCTTACTGTTTTTCTCTCAGTTTCTCCATCAACCACACATGGCCTATGGCAAAAACCTACCCCAAAAAAAGGAAATGGGTTGAGGGGAGGTGGATGAATTTAGCTCACACATGCTCAAAAACCTCCCTCCATTTAGAACCTGTGTCTGAAAGAATGGCAGGGATAGAGAAAATAAGCTGAACTAGACATCTGGACCCCACTTCCCTCTCACAAGACAATTCTACCCTTTGTAGGTGAGCATTCCGCTGGGGCTAAAATCGAACAGCAAATTTTTCTTGATGGAAAGTTCTAGAACTTTGCTGTTCTTCACAGCAGCCACAAGGCACATGTAGCTGTAAGAATGCAGTTCTCATCAGGACGTAGTTAGCGGCTGCCCTAATGGACAGAGCAAATTATACAACATTCCTCTCATTGTGGAGAGGTTTTATCAGGAAGGTGCTGTTCTAGAAGGTTCCAGGACCTTGGAGACAAGGTACAACTGCTACAAGCTCTCCCTCCACCCCCACATGTCCAATGTATACTGAGAAAGACCTTTTAGCTGCAGGAGGGGGAGGGGACAGGTGGGCAGAATGGTGTCCAAGTAGCTGTCTGGCAAGTTCTCAGTTCCGGAAAGTTCTCAGCTAAATCCTGACCTCAGAATCTAAAGCCTGACTCCAACCTGAGGCTGGAGTGGGCTCACCCATCTGCGCCACTCGCCTGGAGGGACAGAAGTGGGGCATTTCCAAAGGCCACAGTGACCAAATGGACCCTTGAGCTCATCCATGTCCTGGGAACCCTCAGAGTCCCCCACTAACCAGTACAGGACCCCCAATCCTGCTGTCTACTTGCTTCCCTGGAAGGCGGGAGCTAACCCTGGAGACCACCCCCCAAGCCTATCTGGCCATCGCTGAACCCCAACACCCTCCGTGCCCATGTCCTAGAACCTGGGCCACCACGTGAAACTTGTCAGCAATGATCTGCTCCCAGCACCACCTGGACCCAACCTCGAAATGCTCCATCTGCGTCCACCCAGTGCCTGCTCTTGGAGCTGGGGTAGGGCCATGGCTTCGCACTGCCCCTGGCACCCGGCTGCCTGGATTCAGAGCCAGCCCGGCAGTCTGAGGTGCTTCATAGAGCAGGCAAAAGGCGCAGGAAGACCATCTGGTGAGGACGGAGGGCAGGGCCTGCCGTGACCCAGCTCACTGTTCTCCTGTGCCCCAGAAGCATGAATGCCCCTCTGTACTCCAGATTAGAACACTGATTAGCTAAATATCCCTTTCCGGGTTTCATTATCACGGAATCCTTGGCCTGCGTTCAACCTTCCGCCCTGGGAATAAGCGCAGCTCAGAGGCATTGTGCCCTGTGCCCTCCTCCCCCCAGGGCCCCGCCCCTGGGGGGAGGGGAGCGGAAAGGGACAGCGATGCCATCACTCCCCAGATGAGATCTGGCACCTCCACCTGAGCCCTGGTTGGGGGTCCTGACAGGAGAGTCATCTTGACCCAAGCCCTCTCCCCTGGGCTCACCGTCAGCCCCTGCCCTGCCCAATGGGTTCCTGGCTGGGAGACCCTCCTTCTGGCAGGACCAAGAGATGCGTTGAGGTGACGAAAGACTGCTTGCCCCCAGAAAAAGGCACATGGACAAACCCAAACAACTGGCAGGCCATTTTTGGAAGCTCACAGGGCAACACGAAGGCTGGCTCGTGCCCAGGCCTGCTTGTGCCGGAGCCCAACTGCTTGGCCCCTGCGGCTCCAGCCAGTCTCTCCACCTTTGCATGGCCCCGTCTTCACCCAGCTTCGTCCTCTCCATGTCTTGTGTTCTGACTAGACCTCTCTGGGTCTCCGGATACAGAAAATGGGGCCTATGGGACCAGCAGAAGCTGTGGTGGTTGTGTCGCTGGACTCCCATGTAGCTGACTGTGGTTCAAATCCTGGACCCAGTGGCTTAAAACTCCAAATCCCTGGAGAATGGAGAAGGGATTGTGATGTGGCCACCCCCCGCGGGGGGT